GGGGGGGGGGCGGGGGAGGAGGAGACGTCCCCATCCTGAGCTGAAAATCAGCACCTCAGTACAAGCAACTGAAGAAAAAACAGTTTCAAGGCAGCAAATCCTCACAGAAAATTGATTCAGGTGTGACTTGCTTTAAATCACTATTTATAAGAAAACCAAATATTTACTGAGGGTAAAAAGGGGGGGGGGTCATTCCTCATTTTAAAAATATTTTTTTAGAGAGAGAGAAACATAAATGTGAGCGGGAAGCATCCATCAGCTGCCTCCTCCTGGGGCTCGAGCCCACAACCCGGGCATGTGCCCTGAGAGTCGAACCAGCAACCTTTCGGGGCACGGGACGATGCCCAACCAACGGAGCTACAACAGCCAGGGCAGCCATTCCTGGTTTTAAAGAAGGCTGCTCCCGGGGTACGCTGTGCATATGTGAGCGCCCCTCGTCAACTGCAAACATAGCCTTTATAGATAGATATCAGCTTCCACATAATTATCACTTGACATGGGGCACATCCGGTTCTCGGAGGACACGATGAGGTGCCTATAATGATCCCCGTCCTGCAGATGAGAAAGCAGAGGCCTGAGGTGGGTGAGTCGCGCAGCTCAGCCCGGCCTCGGATCTGAAGCTTTCCCCTGCACATCACGCTGTCCCCATGTGGTCCCCACAACAGCTCCGGGAGGTTGATGCTGAGCAAGAGGCTGGCCTGGGCTGTAGATGAGAAAACTGGCGCAGCGAGGCCCTCTAACAGGTTCCCGGACTCGGGAACCCAGGTTTGGGAGTTGTGCTAGGTTTACCACTCATGGGCTCTGCTTGGCATGTACTGGACCTCTATGGGCCTCAGTTTCCTCATCTATAAAGTGGGCATAATAATGGGGAGCTGTGAGGGTGCACTGAAGTGATGTATATTGTTGCATAGAGCAGTGCCTGGCACATGGCTGCTAATATTTGCCTTTCATTCTTGTTATTTTTACCGTATCTCACACACCTTATGCGATATATCCAGAGCCATGTGAGGGAGCGTCTCCTCTGGGGTCAGGCAAGATGCCCCCCCCTCTTTAGCTCAGCCTTTCCCTCCCCTCACCACCCTCACCCCTGCCAGGTCACACTGGGCTGGTTCTCTCTCCCAACCCCCAGGAGCCTCCCTGCCACCACCTGACCCCACCTCGCAGCTGCCAGCTGCCTTGGCCAAGGATGAATGGCATCCCCATGGCCCCGCTGGCGTGTGGTCACCCGCCTCTGCCTGCGGCAGGGACTGGAGCCGGGACGTGCCTGGCCGGCTGCCAGTGCCTCCTTGGTAGGGTGCCCCGCCACGCCTCTGGCCCCTCTATTCTGGGAGCTGTAATTAGCCGGCCTTCCCCGCCCCAGTTGCTATCTGTGGCAGCACTCACGGTCCGGTCCGAGGGCCTTGCCCACCCGCTGCCTGGCTGCCTTTTCATCAACAGCTCCCAGGCTGCCCTGTTATCTTGGGCGCCGTGGCTCTGGGGAGGAGGCCCTGCCACCCTGGAGATACAAATGACTCTTCAATCCTGGGGGAAAAGCCGGCCCGATGTGGGCAGCGGCGGGGTGAAACCCTCACCCACGAGCCCAGTATAGCAGCCCTCAGAGCCTGACCCTGAAGCCTGCCAGGGTGGGCTGGGCTGCAGGATAGAGGAGAGCCTGTCATTACCCCCGCAGCACCCTGGGGACTGGGTCAGGCTGGGTCAGTCTCTCCACAGGCCTCTAGCTCAGTGAGGCATGCTCAGTCACAGGGCCAGGGCAAGCATGGAGGGGGGATCAACAGCAGCAACAAAAGTGATGTTTCTAAGATGCAAATGTGACTGTGTCTCTCTCTAGCTCCCAACTTTCCGTGGTTCCCCATGGCCCTTAGGGATGAAGCTCACAAGACCCTCCTCCTCTGCCCTCCCGACACGTCTCTCACCCCAGGACCTTTGCACAAGCCTTCCCTGTGCCTGGACACAGCTCTCCTCTTCGTCTAACTCCTACTCGTCCTGCAGGTCTTGGCGTAGAGTCACTTCTCGTGGAGCCTTCCCCTGACATCGCCACGCAGACACGCTCTCCCTGGTCCTCCCCTTGGCCTGGGATGAGTGTCCCTCCCAGGGTCACCGGGAGCACCAGGCCCTCACCTGTGCACCTGTCCGTCTCTCTCGCTGACTACGAACGTTCCAGGACAGGAGCTCTGCTCACGTCGTTTCTCCAGCACCCAGCCCAGCCCAGGCCTGACATACGGTTGGTGTTCAAGAGAGATTTGTTGAAAGAGCTCAGGGAGGAATAAATGAATGACTGCTCTGCCCCTTAGGGATGTGTGGGTCTCATGCGGGGGGAGGGTGTTTTCTACTTTGTGCCCTTCATTTCCCCAGAAAGCCTTGGCTTCAGTGTTCCATCCCTTTGTCCTCTAAGCATAACGTCAGGTTTGTCACACTGTCCGTCCATCTGATCTGGAAAATAGGGTCGCTATGGCCCTGAGCCCGCTGGCGGGAGCCCCAAGAGCTCTGAGGATGAGCTGCAAACAGCAGGGCATCTCTGGGTTGAGAGGGAGGAGAGCACAGGAAAAGGGAGTCCTCAGGCCATGAGTCACTCACAAGCCACCAGTCTGTTCCCGAGAGGCAGGGAGGTGTGCGTGCCCAGTGGGCAGGGCAGGTGGTTTGGGCACTTTCTGCTGTGACACCGAGATCCACTGTGTATGTTGCTGGCTCCAGAGGGGAGACGGCAAAGGATGACCTACAACCACAGCAACGAGGCTGGGGTCCGAGTCCTCCGCCCGTCGTCCCTGTAAATGTTGGAGGACTTCTGCAACTTTTAGTCTTTCTGCATCCAGCGTGCACTTCCTGTGTCATTTCTGTCACCCTGCCGTTTCACTTAAATGTATCCCAGAGCACCTGGAGGCTGGGAGAACATGGTCACTGCGTCTGTTTCCACCTCCTGAGACCATGAGGCCCACCCCTAGGAATACAGCCACGAAGCCACGGTCTGGGGCCCAGGCCTTTTAGAGAGGGAACAGGAGAGCAGCGGGGGCTCAGCACCTGCCTCCACACTCCTGGGGGCCCCATCACGAGGTGGCCAGAGCCAGCCCTGGTGAGGACAACCAATCTAGTGGCAAATATATACAAAGTGCACTCTCTGGACGGGTCACATGACCCAGACATACTCTCATCCCAAGGCCTTTGCACTTGCTGTTCCTCTGCCTGGATGCTGTTCCCCTCGGATTTCTATAAGGCTCACTCCCTCAGGTCTTCATGTAATTGGCCCCGTTCGGGCAGACCTTCCCTGGTCACCTATTTAAATTGACCTCCCTCACTCCCACCCCATTTCCCTGTGTTATTTTTCTCCAGAGCACTTACTGCCATCTGACACACTGGCTTCTTCCTCCCCATCCTTCCCTCTCTTACTTTTTCCTTCCATTGTCTGCCTCTTTTCCACAGAATGTACCGTAAGAACCACAGCAATTGAGTTTACAGACGTAACTCTGGCTTAGTTCTCTATTACTCTATAATAGATTATCCTACCCCTAGCTGGTGTGGCTCAGTGGATAGAGCATCTGCCTGCAGACTGAAGGGTCCCAGGTTTGATTCCTGCACATGCCCAGGTTGCAGGCTCGATCCCCAGGAGGGGGCATGCAGGAGGCAGTCGATCTCTCATCGTTGATGTTTCTATCTCTCCCTATCCCTTCCTCTCTAAAATCAATAAAATATATATTTAAAAAAAATAAATACATATAATAGATTACCTTAAAATTTTAGCAGCATAAGAAAGATTTTGCACTTGGCTTTGAACAGTGGCTGGAAATAGACGAGGAACCAGGAAGAAGATGCCTCAGAGTGGAAAGGGGGAGAGACAGCCTTCTCCCAGGATGGAAAGAGTGGGGCTTCCACACGGCTCCCAGGAGCTGGTGTCATGATGTTTTCCAACATAGAGTAGAAATAAATCAGTCTCTGGGCTGTGTCTTTATGTGAGATACGATAGGGAGGGATTAAAGTGAATCTTTTTATATATACCAGTATATATTTCATTGAAAAAATCCGCATTATTAACCAGCACATATTATGGAAAAATTCGTATTATTAACCGGTGCACCTGCTAATAGTCGTGCTGGCTAATAATGCGGATTTTTTCATAAATATTTACTGGTTAGTAGTGCGGATTTTTAAATATTTATCAGTTAGTAGTGTGGATTTTTAAAAAATATTTAAAATAAATATTTAACGATTAATAGTGCGGATTTTAAAATAATATTTACTGGTTAATACTGCGGATTTTTAAAATAATATTTAAAATAAATATTTACCGGTTAGTAGTGCGGATTTTTAAATAAATATTTACCGGTTAATGTGGATTTTTAAATAAATATTTACCGGTTAATAATGCGGATCTCTCTTCCTGGCTTGCAGATGGCCACCTTCTTGTTAAAACAGGAATTTTGGGGGTAAAACAGGACAGGTGTAGGAATTTTTAGAAATCTTGGAAATTAACTGTGGACTGAGAAGCATTTTCTTCACACCAGCGAGCGTGTCGCACGGCTGCTACGGCCCTCTGCAACACCTCGATGTCCAAATGGAGTTCTGGATCCAGTTTTCGGAGATTGGGTGGCACTGTTGTAATGAGAATCTTCACTGTAGCATCAGAAGAACTGATCTCAAAGCCAGTTTCATTGGTCAGCATGGTCCAAACCTCAGAAGGATCCTGTGCTCTTAGGCTTTCCATGACTTTGCGCCCTAGGGTAGCATCATTGATGTTTCTATTTCTCTCTCCCTCTCCCTTCTTCTCTGAAATCAGTAAAAAAATATTTTTAAAAAACTGTGGCTGGTGTCTGACGTGAGGGCAGTCTTGCTGGGGACAGTGCTCTGAGCCTGTAGAGTCTGCACTGATTCCCGGTCGTGTCGCACTGCATTGGGGTCCGATCGTAGTGCTAGATCTGCAGATGCCTGAGTTGGACTTTATTTGGTTGGTGGCTGGAAGTCATAGAGTTTATGAGAAGATGAATGACAGGATTAGTACCTGGGATCCTGGCAAAATAATCTGGCAGAGACTGATGTTGGCCAGAATTCCCCAAGTCCCAGGCCCCCTTGGTCACACAATCTCAATTTTGACGTGGAATGCTGGTCACCAAAGATGTTTCCTTTCAAAAAATAAAGAGCCGCAATAAAGCAGGTTGCATAGATCTACAGTCGAAGGTGTGTGCGAAACACAGAGTTCATGCTTGTATTATTATATATTGATTATTGTATGACTTTTTCTTACGACCAACTGTAAAGCTACTTTTGCCCCACCCTGTACCTGGGTGGGGTTGGAGCCCTCCCGAGGTAGGCCAGCCAAGGAGCTGCAGAAAATGCTCGCTCCTGGGAGCAGAAGGTCCGTTGTTTCTTCCCGGTGCACCCTCTGCAGACACTGAAATGCATGTGAGAGGCTTGGATGCACACCTAGCCCAAGCCCTCTCTTCAAAGCGCAAGGGGTGTGGCAGCAAGGTCAGGGTGCCGCTGCCCCTTGGGGAGCCTGGAGTCCCTTTTCTTAGCCTTCCTGGGCTCTCCAGCTGGCTTCTTCCCAGCAACAGCCAAACACTGGCCAGTGGTATTGCAACGTTTCTTAAAACAAGCACCTGTTCTCTTCCACGGTTCCTGCGGGCCAGGAACCCTCCTGCGTTGCAGTCATCTTAAGGCCTGACGGGGGCTGGAGGGTCTGCATCAAAGCTCACTCATTGGCGTGGTGTGGGCCTCAGGTCTGCAGGCTGCTGGCTGGGGGTTCAGTTCCGTCCCCTGTGGGCCTCCCTACAGGGCTGCCCCCAACATGGCATCTTGCTTCCCCCTAGAGCAGCGGTTCTCAACCTGTGGGTCGCGACCCTGTTGGGGGTCAAACGACCCTTTCACAGGGGTCGCCTAAGACCATCCTGCATATCAGATATTTACATGACGATTCATAACAGTAGCAACATTACAGTGATGAAGTAGCAACGAAAATAATTTTATGGTTGGGGGTCACCACAACATGAGGAACTGTATGAAAGGGTCGCGGCATTAGGAAGGTTGAGAACCACTGCCCTAGAGCAAGTGATTTAAAACGGAGGCAGCAGGAGAGTGAGAGAGCACCCAGGGCAGAAGCCGCCGTCCTATCACCTACATCAGAGGAGATGTACCTTGGCTTCTGCACAATGCCGCCCTCACACAGGCTCACACTGGGGCGGGACTGCACGGAGGTGTAGACACCAGGCACAGACACTGAGGCCATCTTGGAGGCTGGCTACCACAGCCCCCAACACACACCTAGAAGATGCTCCAGCCCTGGCCGGTGTGGCTCAATGGGTTGAGCATCTTCCTGTGCACCAAAAGGTCTCTGGTTCGATTCCCAGTCAGGGCACATGCCCAGGTTTTGGGTTTGGTACCCAGTTGGGGTGCATGAAGGAGGCAGCTGATGGATGTTTCTCTATCACATCGATGTTTCTCTCTCTCTCCCTCTTCCTTCCTCTCTCTAAAATCAATAAAAACATTTTTTTAAAAAAAAGAAGATGCTCATGAAATAGCTGTGGAAGGAAAGAAGGCATGCTCTCAGCAAAATGTCTGGTGTGGGTTCCAGTTCTCACGAGGAACTGATAGCCCTGACCTCTGCCTCATCCCTGAAGGATCAGAAGCACGGCCAGCTTTCCCCAGCCCCCGTCGGGCCCCGCGATGCCCTCTTATAATCCAGCTCCGCCTCTTTCCAGCTGTGTGAACTTGGGCAAGTTCCCAAACGCACAGGCCTGCTGTGGGGATTAGAGAGATGAGGGTTTACGTGTCACAATGTTGACACACACAAGCCCTCCCAAGCGGTCCTCTGGGGCAGTGCCGTGTGGGTGTTGGTGTAAATGTGTGTGGATGCGTGTTTCTCTGTGTGTGATTTTCCACGAGCCGAGGCTGAGAGGAGCTGTCCAAGGTCGGTCACGTGGTCCAGACACCGGGCTTATCACTTGGGCCAGAGATGGTCACGTGCTGAGGCCTTAGTCACCCAGACAGGCGGGAGAAGCTGATGGGCCCTGGGGCTGCGTCCTTTCACTCTGAACAGCAGGTGTTACCCTAATGGTTCTTAAACTTTTTGCAGGGCTGGGAGGGGAGGGGAGCCGGAGTCATGGAACCTTTTGAAAGTTTACATGAAAAATGCAAATGTGTACATAAACACACACACACACAAGAAGTACATATAATAAGCTCAGGACATCCATGACGGACCATCGCTTCCAAATGCTAGCACTGGACTGTGGCTCCTGAAAGGCAATGAAATGACTGGGGCTTGTGTCTCCGGAACAAATGAATGAATGCACGCATGAAGGAA